CCACTACGCCCAGGTAATTTTTTTTTTCATAGAGACAAGGTCTTGCTATGCTGCCCAGGCAGGTCTTGAACTCCTGGGCTCAAGCAATACTCCCACCTCAGTCTCCCAAAGTGCTGGGATTACAGGTCTAAGCCTCTGCGCCAGGCCTAGAAACATCTTTCTGTTGGCTAGAAAGCCTAGTGCAGCTCTTGTCAATACTCCCACCTCTTCACTGCCCCCAAAAAAGACTGCATTACTTATCATCCAGACCCCAATTTGATATCCGTGACTTACAAAATTTCACCCCTAATAACTTGCCAGCTTTATCTCCTCCTCTTCCCCATATGCACCTTACCCTCCAGCCAACCATAACTAGAGAAGATGTTTTCCAGAAGTCTAAATATTAGAAGCTGAACAACAGAGCTGTGCTAGAATATTTTTAAACATCATCCCATTTTTAAGCCATGATTTGGTATAAGGTGTGTAGTAGTGGGATGCCCAGTGGGTAACCTAACAGTGGCATAAAATGAACAATACAAATAAGGTGGTACAAACTGTAAGAGACTAGCTCCCCAACAAGGGAAAAACCGTAGCTAATTGTGTTTTGGCAGATGACAGCTACGTAAAGTGTTAAATCCAATCATGCCTACTACCGATCAAAGCCCGTATAGATCATCATTCTCTCATCAATTTGAGATATTCAAAACTCCACAGTATTTTATGAAGCCAGAATAGCACAGGTACTTCTATTTGCTTTTTCCCAAACAGTCTATTTCTCCCCAGCCCTGCTGGGAAGCTTTTTCTAACTAGCCAGCTCCATAGGCTCTTTTTTTTTTTTTTTTTTTTTGAGTTGGAGTCTCACTCTGTAGCCTGGGCTGGAATGTAGTGGCACTCCACTGCTGCCTCGACCTGCTGGGCTCAGGCAATCCTTCTACCTCAACCCTCCAAGTAGTTGGAACTACAGGTGTGCACCACCATGCCCAGCTAATTTTTTTTATTATTTATAGTAGAGACAAGGTCTCGCCAAGTTGCCCAGGCGGGTCTCGAACCCCTAGGCCCAGGCAATCCTCCAGCCTCAGCCTCCCAAAGTGCTGGGATTACAGGTATGAGCCACCACACCCAGTTCAATAGGCTCTTCTTAAATGTCACCTTCTCCAAGAAGTCTTCCGTGTTCTAGCCAGACAAACAATTTTTTTCTGGCTTAAAACTTTCAGAGGTCTTTTATGTACAGCTCTTACCGTATTTACACTGTTCTATATCTGTCTTGTGATGGAATTAATTAAATATGTAGAAGATGACCCATAAACTTCAAGATACTCTAGGAATAAACACATTTTTTTCAACAAGATCACAACTCAAGGTACGATTTATAATGGGAAATATCAACGTAAATAAAAAAAGATCTGAAATCACTATGTAGTTCTAATCAAAAATGCTGATTAGATGAGAATGAAAATACACTTTCTTTTTTTTTTTTTGAGTTGGAGTCTCACTCTGTCGCCCAGGCTGGAGTGCAGTGGCCGCTCCCGGCCACGGCAGCCTCGACCTGCTGAGCTCCAGCGATCCTGCCGCCTCAGCCTTCCGAGTAGCCGGAATTACAGGCATGCGCTACCACGCCCAGTTGATTTTTTGATTTATTGTAGAGATGAGGTCTCGCCAAGTTGCCCAGGTGGGTCTCGAACCCGTGGGCTCAGGCAATCCACTCACCTCAGCCTCCCAAAGGTGCGGGATTATAGACTGAGGCACCGAGTCCGGCTGAAAATACACTTCTAAGCAATAAGTTACATTTTACTATTACACAAAGGAAACTGAAAATAAGGTCGACCATTACAGTTTGAAGTGTTGCTTTATATAATTTATTTCTATAATTCAGAGATGACAATCCAAGTATGCTCAAGATACTGGCATGGAAATCACACTGAATGGTAACACCCAGTGCAAATGAAACTATCAATCTTCTGACAAGTGTGTATATCAAACCCCATTACCTATTAAGACTCCTTCAGAGTAGAAATAAAAGTTGTCATATAAAAAGGGAACATAAACGGGGCTCGGTGGCTCAGCCTGTAATCCCGCACCTTTGGGAGGCTGAGGTGAGTGGATTGCCTGAGCCCGCGGGTTCGAGACCCGCCTGGGCAGCAAGACCTCATCTCTACAATAAATAAAAAAAAATCAGCTGGGCGTGGTAGCGCATGCCTGCAATTCCATTTACTTGGAAGGCTGAGGCGGAAGGAGCACCGGAGCCCAGCAGGTCGAGTCGAGGCTGTGGAGGCCGGGAGCAGCCACTGCACTCCAGTCTGGAGACAGTGAGACTCCCAACTCAAAAAAAAAAAAAAAAGGGACCATGGATAGATTTTAGAACACAAAACATTTGCTAGCAATTATCATCCTCCCTCAGAGATACGAGAGTCAAAGGACAAAAACCAGCAAGAAAGAGGAAATATCCAACATATCCCCTTCATACCCTGAAAAGATGTATTTGTAAGTTTATTTCTTTGATATATAAGATTAGAAAAAGAGCCGGGCTCAGTGGCTCAGCCTGTAATCCAGCGCCTTTGGGAGGCTGAAGTGAGTGGATTGCCTGAGCCCGCGGGTTCGAGACCCGCCTGGGCAACTTGGCAAGACCTATCTCTACAATAAATCAAAAATTAGCCAGGTGTGGTAGCACACGCCTGTAGTTCCAGCTACTTGGAAGGCTGAGGCGGAAGGATTGCCGGAGCCCAGCGGGTCGGGGCTGTGGTGGCCGGAAGCGGCCACTGCACTCCAGTGTGGGTGACAGAGTGAGACTCCAACTCAAAAAAAAAAAAAAAAGGATTAGAAAAAGAAGAAATAACACAAGCCAAGTTGATATGGGTAAGCAATGAGGTTGCAAACAAAAAACAATAAAAATTTTACAACTACCTTTTAAAACAAAAACAAATCATTGGCTTGAGTTATTTTTCTACAAGTTGAGTCAACAAATCCTAACAACGTTTACTGAAGTTTCCCTAACTCCTCAGAGTTATATCACACACCTATGATTATCACACACCTATGATCCTGTGATTATTTTCCAAAATTACCTCCGAAAAGTAACCTTACTTCCTGTAGACTAAAGTCAAAACATCTCCCCTTCATATGACAATCTGAGTATGTGGTCCTAACTTTTATCTACACAGACCCTCTGCTCTAGGGTTCCCTCTATGTCTTCCAGAACACACCATGTTAATATGTATTTTCAATCTTGCTTTTCTGTTCCACTCCTCATGGTATGCACTATGTCCACCCACCCAAATCCTGTAAGGCAAACATTTACTAAACATTTACCCTGCTCCAAAGGCAAAGACATCATCCCAAGTCCCACCATTGCTTTTTAAAGCTTTTTCCTTTAGTCTGCAAGGGCCATCATCTCCTTAATGACTCTTCTCCATTTAACACACAGTTGGAGTGAGAAATGACATCCTTTTAGGTTATACTGGTATAGCTATGAACTAAGTCAAACAAAAACAACAGGGGTCTCCAATGAGGAGTGGGTGGCAAAGGGGTGAGGCGTGAAAATTACCTATTGGGTATAATGCTCAACATCGGGTGGTGGGTACAGTAGAAGCCCAATCCCCACCATTATGCAATATACCCATGTTACATGTACTCCCGAATCTAAAATTTTAAAGAATAAAAATTTTTTTAAAAGTCAAGGTGTGGCCGGGCACAGAGGCTCATGCCTATAATCCCAGCACTTTGGGAGGCTGAGGTGAGAGGATTGCCTGAGTCCGTGAGTTCGAGACCAGTCTAGGCACCTTAGCAAGATCTCATCTCCACAATAAATCAAAAAATTAGCTGGGCACGGTGGTCTATGCCTAGAGTTCCAGCTACTTGGAAGGCTGAGGCGGAAGGTTCTCCCAAGCCCAGCAAGTCAAACTGAGGTGGCCAGGAGTGTGCCACTGCCCTGCGGCCTGGGTGACAGAACGAGACTCCAACTCTGAATGAATCAATTAATTAATTAAGTCAATGTGTGAATTAATTAATAAAGTCGCCGTGTGCCACAGGCTAAGATCAGGGTTGAAGAACGAGAGATAATGTGTTCATTCACCACATATTTGTTGAGTAATTACCATGTGTCAAACACTATTCTGGGTATGACAGGCAAAGACCTTGTTCTCATGGAATGTGATGTGTGTGTGTGTGTATAAGGAATAATAACCAACTCTGGGCATGTAAACAGAATCACTTCACACTGTGGCAAGTGATTCCGAGGATGTAATACAAGTTTTACGTGTTATCGAATGATCAGGGAACTATTTTAGAGAGGTAGATAGGAAAGACCTCACAGATTTAATTGATGAGAACTCAGCCATGTGATAAAACAGTTAAAGCATTAAGAAACCAAAGCCCTCTGTATTTTATTTAAGGTTCAAAGATTTTCACGATCACATTTTGAGTGTGCGTAAGTATGAAAATCCCCTAACAGACAACACTTCCCAAGATCAAAAAATAAAACACAAATTGTGCCCACTGTGGGCGAACCAAGATTGCTGTCTTCACGTGAAACATTTAATGAAGGTCGGTTTCATGAGCCCCAACTGTGTTCTGAACACTCCAGTCCGACGGCCCCTCCTTCCGTGAGTTCAAGAGCCATCAATCAACCTAAGAGACCACCTAAAGGTATTCAGGGACTTTCTGGCCGAGAAAACTGTACAGCAAGCAGACACTCAACGACCTTACACAGACTCACAGCTAGAATCAGTGTCACCAAAAAAAGATTCGAGGAATTTCTCATTCTTGGGTAAAACGCACCGTTCAAGTAGGGGGACACCACGACAGGACCCCAGAAAAGCCGGGTCGTGGGGAAAGGAGATCTATTTCTAAACTAATGTCCCTCAATGTCCTCCTGTGCAAATGAACATAACAATGACTCCAGCCTCTCAAGGTGTGTGAAGCTCTAACGAGGTGGCCGTGAAAGGACTTGAAGAGGCGCCCGGGGCAGGATGGTCTCAAGCTGCTTGCACCGAGAAGAGCGCGAGTGGGAGCCTCGCGAACGTTACCTTGACCAGCCACACTCCCGTGTTCTGTTTGGCGCCGGTCAGGTCCAGCTCCCCGCGCTCGGCCATGGGTCTGTTACCGGAGGAGGCCTGGGGGACGGAACAGAGGCCCCAGAAGCTGGAGGGCGGCGGGGCGGGTGTCCGGAGCAAAGGGAGGGCCGCGGTGAGAGACGGACCGGGAGGACCCGGCGTCGCACACTAGCCAAGATACAGGGAACCCCGGGAAAGAGAGACACGCCGCCGGGAACCCGGAACCGCGCCTGCGCAGCGACGCTGTCAGTACGGCGCGCTGTTGCGGACAAACTTCCTGTTTCGGCACCGTCTTGGGAGGGCGTGGCTACTGGCGTTGACTGTATCTGATTAAAACGACGGGTGGCTGGGAGGAAGGCCTCGCTCATCAAGGGTGCCTGCATAATCAACTTTTGTATACTTAACCCTGAATTGTACCTCACATCTTTATAATTAGAAAAAAAAAGAAATAAAAAAAAAAAAACGAAGGGGGGAATGAGCCAAAACGTCAGCGGTTCATTTCAAGACAAGGTCAACATCACTAAAGAAAAGGAACGTCAAGAAAGAAATATGGGGCTCCGAGAGGCAAAAGCTATCAGTAAGATGTCCAACACTAGCCAAGGAGAGAGAGACAGAATTTGAAGGACAGGGTCAGGGTAACAAATTGGCGTGAGTAGGTAGCCCTGGGTGTATACCGTTTCTAGACCTGAAAAGAAAGCGGTATTTCAACTTGGAGGCTACCCTGAGCTCTTTTGATTAAGCAAGCAGAGCACATCACTTTCAGACTCCAAAACCCAGAGGTCAGGGACGATACGATCATGTAAGAGACAACCCTGATTGCTTACCTCTCCTACTTAAAGTTTCATTTTCTCTGCTTGCACCTAAAATAAAATTCAATACTTTCTGCTTCAACTGGGCCTTCTTGATTTGATCCCTTTGCACCTCCTGCCACTCCCTCCACCACGCACCCACCCACAGCAAACCCAACGGACCTCCCCCAAACACGGCAGGGCCTTCCGATGACATTTCAGAGCCTCTGCATATTCGAGCTGCTTTCCTCATATGCCCTGTGTTACTCCTGCTCACACTCTCACCCCTGTCCTCTGGTTGACAAACTCCTACTCATGTTTCAAGACTAATGGAGATGTCACTTCCTATGAGATCTTTTTATCAACTCCCCCAGAGGAAATTCGTTTTTCTTCACATCATAGTGTGATACTTAGCACGCTGCACTATAATATACGTGTTTACATATCTGCTTTTACTTTCTAGACTATGAACTCCTCCTGTGTGGATGGGACTTGGTTGAAGTATAATTGACAAATAAAAATAGTGTTTTTTCATTTTATATCAACAACATATAGCATAGTGTTTGACACATTGTCAGATTTCAGTAGGCTTTGGTTGAATAAATATTTGCTGAAGAGAAACTAACCGTAAGGTATTGTAAGAATGGCAAGTAATTCATTGAATTACCCTTCAGAGTCATGCACAAAATTGAAGAAATTTTATGTATGTGTAGCATAGGGCCCAGAAGAGCTGTCAGGACTCTGAGATCAGCAGTCAAAACTAATAGGAACGATAGGAGTGATCAGGTATGTGCTGAAAATAATGATTTCAGCCGGGCTCGGTGGCTTAACCTGTAATCCCACAACTTTGGGAGGCTGAGGTGAGTGGATTGCCTGAACCCGAGGGTTCGAGACCCGCCTGGGCAACTTGGCGAGACTTCATCTCTACAATAAATCAA